GTTATGCACACACGTGCATGTATGTGTGGTTATGTGTTTGAGAGTCTGTGTGTTTGTGTGTTTTGTGTGTTTGTGTAGTACTGTTTTGCTTAATAATGTTGGCTATTAAAAGTGGAAGTCTCTGTTGACAGGGAGAGACAAAGTACATTTCAGGATGATACTTTTTTAAATTGAAGGCACAAAGCTAGGATAAATGAATATTACGTAGCTGCTTTCTTGGACAATCTAAGAAGTTTCTTATGTTATGAGAGAGCCCTAAAATTAATGAAATCCATCATTATTCCTTTTCTGTTTCTTTTTCTTACATTAGTTTTTGTTCTTGCAGAATGCAACTGTATCAGCAGTAAATTTAAAATAACTCATCATTGTGAGTTTTTTTTCTAGGATTATTGCTGTACAACTGTTCCTTGACCCTCACGCTACATCTGCAAGTTCCTAGAAAACTTTGGTGTGTTTACCTTTAGCCTGTGTTAGGTAATCAGAGGAGCTTGTAGGACACAAAGCCTCATCCACCCTACATGATTCACACCTATAAACCTGGGCACCATTACTCTTTTTTGCTAGCATACCTGCCTTATCAGTTATCCTGCTACCACTTTGTCCTGCTTCTCTCATCCATGCGTCCTTCCTCCTGTTTCCCCAACTGCACAGCGAGTCCTCGCTGGTTCTTTACATGCTCATTCTGCTTTTTTCTTTCAGTGAAAGTTCCTGCAAAGGCTGCTGCTCTACCCGGTAGAAAGATTTAGTGGGAATTACCACAAGTGATTGTTTCCCTGCTTCTGCCCAGTGCCCAGAGAGAGGAGGGATATTAGAAGCTGTATGAGAAGTTTGAAGTTGTTTATATTAGGCAAGTTCTGAATAAAAATGATGAATAGTATTGAGAGAAGTTGATCTGGTCCTTTTGTTGCTGAAACAACAAAAATGAGAGTCACTATATTTGAAACTGCTCATAAATATGTTTACAGAGGTGTCACCCTACATATGGAATTCATTGCTGCAAGATAGTACTAATTTGAATGCTTCTACACATGTTTGGCTTAGCATGTGATGAGAAAGGACAGGTTTAACCCCAACAAATTATGGGGGAAATTGAAAAGAGAGAAAGATAGGTGTAGAACTCTGAATGGCTTTGTGCTTTGACCGTGTGATGTGGAGCAGTATCCTGACTAAGGCTAACAGAGCGCTGAAAGCTGCCTTTATTTTTTTAGCCCCGCTGGTGCTGAGAAGCACACCTTAACTCCTAGACATTGCTTTAGATGGTTTCAATTCTTCTTTAAGAAGTAGCATGAGGTCTTAGAGGCTTAAATAGCTGCCAGTCTATGAGGGTGGCTGCATGTGGCTGCAGGGTGAGGAACTGCCCTTGCTCCCCATGCAGCCAGTGGAAAATCTTTCAGTGGCTTCAGTGGGAGAATGACTGGCCATCTAAGACAAGCAATCCCATGAATGTTGTTACTTTCAGACCCTAATTGTGGAATGACTAAATACAAATGAATATGCGTGAAGTCCAGGGCCATAATTATTATTTTGACTTTTTTGATGATTTGTCTTAGGCAGAAGTGAACTACTGTACAGCTTAATTACTACAGCAGTGCAACAGTTACTTGAGTGCAACCAGATATTTAATGTTTTCAGAGAAGAACTTGCACAAATAAAAATCATATCATACGTGTGCAGGAAATTCCTTTGTCATTTGTGTGCCATTGACATATGAAAAACTGAAATGCAGTCATGGTATATCTGCCAGGTACTGAATGACAATGGAGGGCGCAAAGCAGTGTTGTTTGCACTCCAGCTGAAGAGTTAAACCTTTTGAAGTTTGCCAAAGCTTTGATGATACAGCAGCTTGAATATTGGCATAACAGTTTCAGTCAGTATTTCAATTGGTAGCATATTTGGTGGTATAATATAGTAAATTCTGCCGTTATCAGAAAAGGGCTCTCTCGTGTGTTTTGGCCTCCTGTGCAAACCAGCAAGCAAGTGATCTTAAAATGTGGTCTGCCATGGTCTGACAGAAGCTGCAGGTACCCCGACCTTTTGTAGTCAAGCCTGTTGTTTGGTTTCACAGATCTCAAATGGATTGTTTGCAGGTTACGAAGGTCGGGAATTGCTGGTTGTTTAATGCAGCTACCTAGCAGGCTGCAGTAACAAACCAACAACTGCCTTTTGGCTCAGTGTAAGAAGTGGGATTTGAATATTTTGAATTGTGCATCAAAGTAAGTGATCCGTGTGTGAAGAGCCTCTTCTGTTCCAGTCTGCAGAACAGGCAGAAGTCTTGCATCGCGTGAAATGCGCAATGTGCCTCTTGCTTACGGTGCTGTCACAAGCACCTCCGCAGTAAACAAGTAGCTACTGAACAGGACAAACTGCTGGAATACAGGATAAATGTCATTGTATGGAAATCTTGGGGATTAAATTGTTGGAAGACAGCTATATAGATAAAGCAATATTTTATTCAGATTTTCCTCCTGTATTGTGAGAAATGAAGGTGTCAGAAGCTGAGGCACTGAGCAAGGGCTCAGGAGATGATGTTTCTGGTCTGTCCTGCCATATCTTTCTGTGCTGTCATTTCATGTCTATAGGATTGGATTAGCAGCAGTTCATTTTTCCTTTGTCTTGTCTGATGTCTTTGGTTCCTCATGACTGCAGATCTCATTTATGGTCCTTATTGTTGTGCCTTTAGAGAATGCTTAAATGAAATTATTGGTATTAATTGTTTAATGCCTATTTTCTGAGCCTTGGAAGTCTGACATGTTTGAACACAGCAGCTAACTGGCTCAGAGAGCGTGTGGGACTTTGCTTGTTTTCCTCAGTGCCACCACTTCATTTTCTATATGACTTTGTTATAGTGATGTGGTGCCATGATGAAAGTGTTGCATTTAATCCACAATTGCAGTTGCCATGAGGTGCACAAGTTGTCACCGAGGAACATCAGGAACAGCTTGTGTTGTTACTCAGCATCCACAACTTCCCGGGGCAACCTGTGCCAGTGTCTCACCACCCTCACAGTAAAGAATTTCTTCCTAATATCCAGTCTAAATCTACCTTCTTCCAGTTTAAATGTATTCTTCCTCCTTTTATCGCTAGCTGCTCTTGTAAAAAGTCCCTCCCCAGCTTTCCTATAGGACCCCTTCAGGTCCTGGAAGACCGCAGTGAAGTCGCCCCAGAGCCTTCCCTTCTCCAGGCTGAACAACCTCAACTCTCTCAGCCTGTCCTTGTAGGGGAGGTGCTCCAGCCCTCTGATCATCTTTGTGGCCCTCCTCCTTCTTGGCATTAAAATCCCTTGGCAAAGCTTCTGTTAAAGTTTTCAGCCCTGTTTCTTCTGTGACTCCAGGTTTTAGATGCTGATTGTACAAAGCTTTGGCCTATTAGCTCATACAGGGCATCTTGCAGACTGACTCTTCCCAAATCCTGCTCTCCAAACCCTCATTTGGTTCTTGCTAAGGCTGGCCTAACCTAGACTGTGAAAAACACAACTCCACAAAGCCATGGCAGGTTCACTGCCTGCTCTTGGAGCTGTTTCTTCAGTTCTCCTTCCTCAATGATACCTCACATTTGCATCTGAGTATGTTAAGAGATCCGAGCAGCTGACTTCCGAAATTCTTTATTCTTTTTCACTCGTGTTTCTGGGAGCTGCAACCACAATGGGCAGCTTGTCAACACTCAGCTTGCCTGGAGCATGGGCATGCGTGGGGCTGGTCTTGCTGTGCTCATGGATAGATGCACAGCCTTCAGCAACTTGAGTGAAAACTGAGTGTATCTATTGGGTAACTTGACTAAACCCAAATTGTGCTTTTTTCTGGTAATTTCCCACAGAAAATGCTGCTAAAGACTGTTGTTATGAAGTAGCAGGGCAGTGCTGTGTCCTTAAACATGATTTTCCTGAATAATTGTTTGAAACTGGCAGATTATTTACAGGATGCTTCCTGAAGGGAAGCTGAATTTATGTTTAGGAAGTTTTGTGATAAGATTAACAAGTTTTTAATTTCTGCTAAGTGGTGTTTATAAAGTTTTTGGATTTTACAGTTTATTTAACTTCTAAAATATTGTGAGAAATATATTTGATTTGTTATTTAGATTTTTCTGCTGGATTAAATAAATACTGTGGATTAAATAAATATTTATTCATTTTAGTAAAGGAAAATTGAGTTTTGATCTGAGCTGAATCTTAATTCCACATGCCGCCTCAGAGGAAAAAGATTGGAAATGGTAAAGAAGAACAGCAGAATGTTTAAAGACACAAATCCAAGATGCTTTATTGGATTCCAGGCTGAGATTCTAGATAAAAGAGTGTTAGGAAACATCAAGTCACTGGAGAAACCTCCCTGCATGTCCTGATCGTGTAAGCAGATCCACGTATACTCTTGTGCCCACATGAAGGCTGCTTACTATGCATCCCCGTGACAGTCCTCAGTGAGGATGCAGGAATCTGCAAGTATGGGATAGCTTGCAGGTGTAGGTCCATTCTGACCCACAGTGCTTTAAATATCTTTTCTCATGTCAGATGCAAGTGTGCCTTCCCAACATTTTTTCTTTGAGGTCTTTTTCCAGGGCATATTTAAGTAGCTCAGAGTCTCTCTGTTGGTTTTGATGAATTTTGGATTATGCTCTAGGGTAATGGCTGTGAAAATCTGACAGCTGCAGAAAAACAAATTGTTTCTGATTCAGGGTTAATTTGCTCTAACGAAAGAAAACAAGAATTTTACACGTAACATCAATGTACTCAGTGTAACAAAAGGGAATTTAACCATATTTAAATGAAGTGGGATCTGAAATATATGCTATAATTCAATGCAATAGAATAAATCCTCTTTCTTGAAGGAAAATGTAGAGTTTTCTTTTCTTGGTTATGATTAGTAACTGAATAATAAGAGTTTCTAAGGTATTTTTTTTAAATTAAGTCAGAGAAATGTGTAAGCTTCTGTGACAGGTGTGTCTCTGCATTTATGTACACTGATATCAAACTCATGTTTTAGTAAGTGTAATAATTTTTGTTTTTCTAGGTTAGTAGATGACCGGTGTGTGGTTCAGCCAGAGGCAGGTGACCTTGCTAATCCTCCAAAGAAGTTCAGAGGTCAGTAACTGAGGATCTATTTTTTTATTCTTTTAATGACTGATTGGTGCATGCTCTAACTCCTTGGGCAAAGATTTGCCTTGCCAGACGTGTAACTTCCCAGATGACTTCATGGTTTGTGAACACATTGCTGAAATTTTAAACTGGAATGTGGATGACAGATTTTTGAGAACTAAATACCAAATCAGCAAAAGCACGAGGGGTAGGTGGAAAACAAGGGGAAGGGGCTAATTTTCTTGTAGTCCAAGAGTTGGATGCTCTGTTCTGTACACCGAACGCTGATCCCCCGCTGTGTGACCAACTCCTTCTTCCAGCCCTGCTCTTATTGTAAATGGGAAACAAGCTCTTGATGTTCAAAACTACTTGAGCTACTGGTTTGTTTATTTTATTTAAAGATAAGACAACATTTGAAGGACTACCACCAAATATTTTGTCAGCTTTTTGTTTTGCTTTTGCTTAAAACTGTTTTCTGATGTTTCTCAACTTCCTTAGGCGTGACCTTGTCAATTATTTGGATAATTCTGCTGTTTTACTTATTGGAAAAAATAACTATGCCCTGACAACATGCACTTTCTACTTCTTGAATGCTAAAAATTACTCCTGGGGTACTAGAAGTTCTGTGTCTTTATATGCAGGGAAGGAAATAAAACCTCTCAGTGTTGTCTGTACTTGATTTAAGCCATTGGCTCTAGTTGTGCCAAAGTAGAGCCTTACTAGCCTGATCCAGACCTCTTTTGGCTTATGTGGACTTGGATTCACACCTGTTATGAGATAAGAAAGCTGATTACGGGTTTCTCCGTTTAGAGCAAGAGAAACACGTTTCATGGCTGCTTGAATCTATCTCAAGGAGGGGCACTGACAATCTTAACCTTATAATTTTATTTTCAGTTTTTCTTTTACTCTAGTATGTATATGCTCTTATTGGAAAAAGGTTGCCTTTAAGCATTGAGTGATTGGAATTCTGCTTTTCGAGAGTATTCAAGATTTTTTTTCCCCATTAGATATTCAGGAAACATCAGCAGTTAGGTCCAGGTCCAGCTGGGAGCATTCAGCACATCGGCGCATCTTGGAAATGCAGGAAACGCGGATGTATACTTAGAAACTAATAGTGATAAATTTCATTCACTCGTGTGATGTCATGGAATAAGTTTATAGTAGAGATGGAGATAGGATGTGGTTCTCCAGTGTGGCTTTCAGACTGCGTATCTGTGATTTCATCCTCTCGCTGCCTGCAAATGCAGGTTTAATACTCAGCGTCCAGGTTGCACAAAATTGCAGGTGGAGATTCTTTGGACAGTGTTTCTGTCACTTCACCACCTGCTGTGTTCCTGAAGTAGAACATAACCAGGTTTCTAGCTGAGACAGAGGTCACTGGAAAAGGCTTGCATGTGATAATATATTGCATAATACATCCAAATGCCTACAGTCAAGGAGCCAAATAGAGGTTAAAAAGGCAACCTTGATTCTTTCATTGTCTAATGTTTAAGGGCTTGATTAAAAACCTTCAGTACAGTAGATGCTGATGCTATGTACCTGAAGCAGCATGAAATTGCCCCTAACAACACAGCCATGATGTTATAGCATGGTGGCTTGCACCATGTTGCAGGTCTCAGATGTTCTTTCCTAACTTGAAAAAGCGAAGAAGGAAAAAAGTTGATGGTGTTCTGTGTTGAGGTTTTTTTTTTTCTTTGTTTGTTCATGGGGTTTTTTAAGGACTTCTTTGTTTGTTTTTTTTAAGTGATTTGAACAGCATCAGGAGGGTCTGGGCACTTTGATCCAGGGTGCAAGGTTATTGAACTCTCAGCGCTGATGGTGTGCCATCGGTGGTGGCAGTAGTACATGTGTACATAGATCAGATGTCAGAAGGAGATGAGACACAGACAGACATACAGCTGTTCTCTGTTGCGTGGGGAATGCACAGACTCTGCTCCTGAGTTACATGCCGTCTTCTGCAGAGGAATGTTTTTTATTAGTAATAGACAGCTTTGGCTCGGTTCCCTATTGCAACCTCTTTCTGTTGCTTGCATAAAACATTCCTTTATCTGTAGTTGCCTCTGCTCCTCTTCCCCACAGCATCTAACCTTTCCTCTAATTCAGTTCTCCACTTCTTGGGGATCTCCTCTTTTCCCTTTCCCTCTCTGCACTTAACCTTGCTACCAGTTACTTTTCTCCTCCTCACTGCTGCCTGGTAGCTCACTTTGGCTCCTGTCAGTCCTTTCTGGTTTAGGGTGCACCTATATCTGACTTAACTTTGAAGTGGCTTGCTTAGCTATTGCTAAGCATTGTGGTAGCATGCAAATTTGAATGAACTGCAACATCTGTAGGAGAAGCAAAATAAGGTGACAAAATTCACTTTTTCACTAAATTGGTGCAAACCACCACGCTACAACATCATGGCTGTATTGTTAGGGGCAATTTCATGCTGCTTCAGGTATATGTCATCAAGTGGCATTCAGGAGAATGGCTGCAGCAAAGATAAAGCCATCATTTGATTGTTTTCTCCTTCATCTTACAAGTCAAAGGGAGTAGCAGGAGTTTTGCTGAGAACACAACAGAGACTTGCTGTCTAATTGGGTTTTAGTGCTTGGTACTGCAGAGGTGTCTGTATTACGAGAACAACCAAAAGTGCATCTCTGCCACGCTTTGTTAAATTTCTGCTCAAGAGCACTGAGGCAAAAGAGTTGCAAAGTGTTGTTCTTATAACCAAGAAATGTAAGCAAACCCCTTATTTTCTCCCGCAAGAATCTTCTGGGAAATAGCATTCAATTAAAATGGCAAAGTTAATAAAACAAACAAAAACTGCTTTAAGTAGGTTCTTGACATAAAAAGTTGTCTTCAACTTGAGTGATTAATTGAATGGTTAGTCATGAGCAACTAAAAATAGCATCTAACAGCAGGAAGAGTAGGGCCTCTTTAGTTAATAGGAACTGCTGTCTGTATGGTTTACAATGTTTTTATCACTGATAGCTGAACTGGCGTTGATTTGAGGTTAGAGCACGACCTAAGAGTCAAAGAAGTATGAGAAAGGCAAGTTTCTAACAAGATGTTTAGATTCCAAGGACTGACTCTGAAAATTAACATCAGAGGACTATGTTTGCTCTTTTTTGGTAATATTTTATCAACCCTCTCCCCCCTCCCCACTTTCCCCAGCAAAAAAACCACACACACACACACAAAAAAAGGTTGTGTTTTCTGACTACTTGTATCCCTCCTACAGAGTTCACTTGGTGATCAAATTTAGGTACAGAGCTGCTGGCCTGAAATGAAAGCCTACGTAAAGAGGTGTCTCAAAATAGCAGTTTCGTTTTTGTTACGTGTTTGCTTTCTTTTTTTTTGAGTGGGTGGTAGCTATTCTAGTTGTTTCAGAACATCCTACAAAACAGAGTATTGTTAAGCTAAGGAAAGCTGTGGTCGTGTCTCATTTTGTGTCCATACAAAGAAGCTATGATGGAGATTTCCCCTTCGTTCACATTGGGATGAACCTAGAATGACGCTGTGACACATCAGTGTGAATATCCAGGTTTGCATCAGTGTCAAGGAGGGCAGAATTTGGTTCCACAGGTGTTTCCTGAAGTCTGTTTGACAACAACAGCAAAAAACCAACCAAACAAAAACCACCCATTTACCATTTTGCAGTTGAATTTAAAGGACTGATGAAGCCAGGTGCTTCTTGTCCTAATTCTGACTGAAACTAGTGAGAGCTAAAGCACTTGGTGTCATGATGGAAATGCTTACCCTGCTGCAGGGCCGGGTTCAAGGAGTTGATGAAGAGCAGCGTGTGCCAGAAGTCGTATACCTCTGAAGAAAAGTAATGTCAGGAGCAACAGAACTGCAGGCTTCCTTAGACTGTGACCACAAACATATGCTGTTATCTCCAGTGGGAAATGCTTCCAGCTTGTGAGGTGTAAAATAGCACAGATAAGACCTGCTTGTTTGTCAGATTTAGCAACTCTGAAAAAAGAGCACCTTCGTTTATTTAATTGTAAAATTACCTAAGTTCCTAAACTGATTTAAACATCCCTACATTTTATACCCCTTTTTCTTGAAGCATCTGCAATGAAAGCGATGTTTGAGTTCCTAGATACCCTCTTCTTGCTTTTATCGCAATTTTAAGTCTGTTCAGCTATTTCTCATGTTATGTTCCTCTGTGCTCTCTGCTTTCCTCCTCCTACCCTTTCCTCTGCCGTTTGCTGTTTTCCTCTTTACTTGCCTTCTCCTACATAATTTTGTCTTGTCCTTACGTTTTCTTCTTGTTTTTCTCAGTTCCGTAATTGCTTTCATTTTCTTCTCAGATGTCTGATTTGCCCCACTCCTTGCTCCCTTGCATTTCTCCCTTTCCATTCTCACTTCAGCTCTTTTTTACCTTTCTGTATTGTTTTCAAAACACATAGATTTGTACACACTATGATTGAATAGCCCTGTCACTTCCACTTACCCATTTGTCAGCCTGCTGGTTTTGGTAAGGTCATGTCATAATTTCTCTAGTTCTGCAAATCACTGAAATGTTCCACGACAGGCAAGAGTTGAATTTCTAACACTTGAAAGAAAAAAACCCAACAACACAAAAGGGGGGGGTGTGTGTGTGTGTGCCCATGTGAAGAAAGCATCTGACAGATCTTGTTCTAAACCATCTTTATACAACATCAAGAAACATTTAAAAGACACGATATGAGATATTTTCCTTTTTCAGACTTCCTGAGCGTAGTTGCTTTTTGCTCAGAGGATGTGTTGCGTGTGGTTGTTCCACCTGCTATTGCCTTTTGCGAAGTAAAGACTGTATTTTGTGCGCAGTCGCGGGCTCAGGCACATAGGCCCTTCGGTGCTGAGCGCGTCCTTTGTGGATCACCGCCTGCGCCCTGGGAGCTGCTGCTTTCCATCTTTTGGTGGCTCTGATTAATAGATGTCATTTTTTCCCCCCATAAAGTAATTGATATGTGTCTCAACACTGGTAATTTGTCATATTTTCTTCCTAATGAGCCGAGGTGTAGTGTAGGAGGTCAAGCCTGGAGTGTGACCAGGGAGAGCTCCCCCCCTTTTTTTTTCCATTTTGTAAAGAATACTTGAAGTTATTTTTTGTTATTTGTAAAAATGTGTGTGTGGGTGTGGTGGGCAATGTTTCTTATTTTCTCCATCTTCACTTTGTGCACAAGTAATTGAAATTTGCCTGGAAGATTTTGTGGGTATGAGAAAATTGATGAAACTGCAGAAGTTGAACACTTGAAAGCTTAGTAAGTGAAACTGGCTGATACTTTTAAGCTATTTGCTTTACAGCTATTTGTTTACCTTTGATAGCTCTTACTTAATTAGTGTCCTCAGGAAGAGAAGCATTTATGTAAAACTCCATAAAATAGTAAGTTAGGAATTAGGACTATCTGAGAACGTCTGGAGAAGTTAGAAGAGACAGTCTGTCTCATGGGTGGGTTGTTAGCCTGACCTCCAGCAGGGCTGAGCTTTTGATCTAATGCATGTGCTGGAAAACGGCTATATAATCTTATGCATCAGTTTCTCTTTTTACCTGTTTATTTAAATTACAGCTTCTGTAGGGCAGGCACTGTTCTTTTCCCCCTCTGTTGTTTAGGACCACAAAGCTTAAATTTCTATAGTATCCTGTTGTTATTCTAATAAAAGTAAGTAGAAAAAAAATGAGATTACTTGTTTTATTTATATCTGGAATCTTAAAAAAATAATTAGGGAAAAGCTTGTCTGGAAACAAAGGATATTAGTTTATTTAGTCTATAAATTGAGGAAAATGCAATCAAAATAATAATGTTTTTTAAAGAGTTCCTGGCATTTCAACTTCTAAAGCACTAGACTGGAAGTCAGGAGAACTGTGTTGTGCAGCATGGCTACAGATGGAGCAGTGTGGTGGCTGAGGTTATCTATGCTTGCTCTACATTTCCTTTTCTTTGAGAACTTATTATTAGGAAAAATTCACCCCCCTTTGGGAGGAAGACCCGCACAGCAGTGCCTGTGCATCCCTGTATATCTTGCATTTCTTTGCAGAGTGCTTTGAGATGCTCTGTATACGGATGGGAAGCGATGTGTTTACTCAAAGTAGCAGGATGTGTGGGGAGTAACAGAAATGAAGAGTGGTCCTATAAAAAGAAGGTGGTGTTACTTCAGAGAAATAAGTGTTTCATGAAGTCTTCTGAGAAAGCATGTTAATCCTAGATTGTTACAGAAGATAATAGTGGACATTTTGTCTTATGAGCTGAAATCCTGATACTCAAAATCTGCTGCAACATACAGTATGATTTAACAGTATACAGTGTTTTGTAATTGTTTTTTCTTTTCCCTTCTTAATGTGCAGAATATTGTAAAAGCTACCTGGGAGGTATGTGCTCTGGGTTGTACGATACAGTTCTCATTTTAAGTGTTCCCCTTTGAAATGAAGTAAACACCTTTGCAAGGTGGCTGGGTTTCCTTTGGTAAAGATTTTTAGCCCTTTCTCCTAGGAGCAGCAGCTCAGGGCTGTGATTAGAGAGCAAATTGGTGAGGACTGTGGGGCAGTGCTGGGAAAAGTTCTACCACCAGCGGTGCGTTCGCATGAACGAGCTTTGCAGCTATGAATAGCAGAGGAAGATCAGTTGCTGTGAAGGGAAGAGGCAATGTGATGGAAAGCTTGGTACAAGGATGGGCCAATATACGTGAGGCTAAATGGCATGTATGGAACAACTAGAAGCATTGCAACTTAGTCTGGGGCTTGAGAGCCAGCACTGTTGCAGACTGCTGGCTCTTGGGATGCAGGTGGTGGGAGGAACATGTAGCATGGTCTTATTCTAGTGGTGTTGGCAGCACTAACATCAGATAGGAATGCCTAACTGGGCCTGGTGGTAGTTGAGAATGCTGCCTGTTTTAAGGAATGCGGATTCATTTTTACTTAGGAAATGCAAGGCCAGTCTGCACACAAGATTTCCCTTCCCTCTCTTGTTGTGTTAGGAGTTCCTACTGTAACATGGCTTCAGTAACTCCTCACAGACTATAAAGAGATGGGTATGTTGGAGGATATCTTTCAGAGGAGCTAAATCTCCTCTTCCTCCCTGTGTGAAAGAGTAACTCCACTGGCTTAACAGTGTTGAAAATGAGAATAGGTTCTGCTTTGGTATCTAACGTCTTCTACAGAGTGGCTCTGAGTTTTACACTTGAATTTCTGCTCATAAGAGTGCAACAGTTGGGAAACTTATCAGATGTATGATAGATGAGACTTCCCACATGTCCTGTGGTGGATCAGAGAAATGGAACAAGTCTTGGGTAGTTAGCAACTGCAGATGTTAAAGTTGGTCTGGGGATTGGATGATGAACTGTATACTGAACTGATGACCCATGAACTGTAAAATAGTCTGCTCCTGGCCTGGCTCAGCGGTTAAAAATCTGAGGCCACGCATTTGGTATAGTTCCCTTTGGCTTCCTTTGCTGACATTTTTGTGACAGTGACTGGTGAATTACTCGATTCCACTGTATTTAAAAATGATGTGCAAGGTTAGTAAATTCAGCAGGGTCACCTACATATCGATCCAGTGTGTAACTGGAACGTGTACCTAGTATTGGTGTTGTAATTGCTATTTCATATGGCAGCATCTTTGATAACAGAGGTAGGGGTTACTATACAGTGCTGTTGGAAAGGGGCTCTCTTGAGAGATGGCAACAGGGTAGAGAACTGAGGGTAGAGAGGACTATTCTCAAATTATTCTGTGCTATGTGATGTTTATGCCATTAACTGTTGAGTTTGATGATAAGGAAGCACTTCATGTTGCTCACGTGGAGCTAGTGTGTTTGTTCTCCTCTATTTCCCTCTCTTCTCTGTATTTTTGTGAGGAGCACTGTCTGTGCCATACTATGTGGAATGTGGCTTTTCAGTGGTGTGGCAGAGTCTCTTCTTTGTGGGAAAGTTGCCTGATGACCAGCAGAGAAGTGACATTGCTGATTCAGGCCAGTCTGGGGTGTCAGCGCCTGCAAGAGGTGCTTCTTAGGTCAGAAGAGGAACTTTTTTATTCTTAATCCTGCTCTGGGGCAAAAACCTCCTCTAAGTAGGACACATTGCCGCTATTACTTGGCTCTAGCTTGTCCCACGGTTGGGTGGCTGGGAGTTAGGTAGGTGTAGTTGCTTCCGTTATGTCTCTGCCTTCCTGAGACCCAGACATAGAGTGGGGAGAAGGAAGGCAATATTTCAGAGATAGTTCTCCCCTAGAGGTGGATTAGTCCTTGGAGTGCTTGGCCATCAGTGACACTTAAATATGGAGGGCTAGTAATTTGAGACAGACCTACCTTTGATGTCTATAAATCACAACCCACATTGGGGAACAGTTTCACACTATAATATACATGCAATCCTGTATGTTCTTACTAGCCTCATAGCAAAACACGGATTATTGCTTATTAATGCTTTCCTGTCCTTTCCTCTTGCCAGTTGATACACATGAAGTGTGAAAGGACAATTACCAACATTTGCTAAGTAAAATGTCTTTCAAGCTTAGTTTTTAGAGCAGTTGATGTTCATGACCATGCAAGACTAGCTATCATTTATCATTCTAAAAAAAATATCAGATTTGGATGAATCATTTTGGTTAGAGGCTCCCTGAGCTTCTGTTTCTAGTCTAAGGACTGTCATAGGCCCCAAAAAACCACAGAAAGTCTTGAATCAGGGAATGTCACAGAACTGTTTATGGCCAATTAACATTAGCTTTTAATTATTGATTCTGGTGTTGGGAAATTAAGAACAAGTGAACAAGCACTTAGGGAAGAACCCTGTGGCTTAACTTCAGACATGTCTCTCTCCCTTCCCAGTCCCCAGCCCCTCACTGCACGTGGTCCCTGTGGGAAGGCAGCGGGGTGGGGATGGGGGTCAGTACCTTGTGGTTTGCTTTCCTTTGCTGCCCCTCTTTTGTTTAGGATCAGCTCAGATTTTCTGACACCCTGTTTATGGTATCATTGCCATCAAGCTGTTTGCTGACTGTGCTTCAATGCTGCGGTATCTGGGCATTTCCGGAAAAAGAAAAGCAACCACAGCATACTTACAAACGAAGGAAGCATCTTTCAATGTTACGAGTATGTCTTTCCATCTTCTACAGACTGCCTTTTCAAGGTGTGTCCCATGAACCGATATTCAGCCCAGAAGCAGTACTGGAAAGCCAAGCAAGCCAAACAAGGAAACCATACAGAAGCAGCACTGCTGAAGAAACTTCAAGTAAGAGACATCTGTATTTGTAATCTTATCTCAATCTGCAGACTGTAGAATTACAATAGAATGAGCAGGAATAATAACAAGTGCCTTGGAAACCACCGTGATAGGTGTTATTGTGCCACCATAGCAACTTTGTATTCTCCTTAGCTCTCCTACCTCTTGACCGACATTTATTGCCCCTGCCCTGATTTTTTATCTTACTTTGGGCTAGGGGTTGTGCCTTTGGTATAAGCAAAATACCGCTTTCAGGGATTTTATAAAGTAAATATGGTGTTTTTAAGATTGGGAGTGGGATCTGGGTTAAACCATGCTATTATTTTAGAAGTACTTTCTAGGAGTTAGTCAGAGGGGTGGACAAAGAGTTGTTTTCCACACTTTAGTCTGGAAATTCCTCAGAATTGCAGTTGTCTTTACTTCCAGTCTTAGGTGATTCTTCTCTGAACCATTGGTCAGAATCTGTTTTGCATTAAATACACTGTGGCTGGAACAACTCCTCTGTCTCTGAGAAAGAACTGGCCTGATTTTATAATTGGATGCATGATATTAAGTGAAAACAAGGTGGTATCAAACCTGGGTGATGGTTTCATGTGCAGTGGAGAGGCTGCCAGTGTTTCCAGTTAAAATCAGCAATGAAGACACATGGTGTGTGGTTAGATCTAGCTACCCAGCAGTTAGAGCTGGGAGTTTGTTCTGTGGCTGTGTTTGACCCACAGTGTTGTGTTTAGCCTTAGTTTTGCAATGTGTGATCTACTAGTTTTGTTATATATAAAGCCAATGAATTTGTATGCAATGAAAAACCCCACAAGTAAATGGAATGGTGACAAGGAGAAACTAATCTTAGGCCCTTCTTTTTCCTTTTTCAGCATGAAATAAAGCACCTGGAATTACTTTTTGTGCTTGAAAATTTTTAAAATAGCATGCATCTCAGGTGTAGTCCATAAATTGTGACTGAGTTTCTGGGGTAATAAAAACTCAGAGTCATTACTTGGGGTCCGGGTGATTATAGTTCAGAAAATTATGCTGCAGCAGGATTTGGATGCTAATGTGTTCAGTGCAGTAATGCTTGCAGGTTGAAGGAAACATTTTTAGTGTGGTGCCATTTCCTTTTCATACTATCTTTTTTCGGTAGCTGATTTTGTAGAATTTAAAGAAATAATCATTCTCTTGCAGCATGCAGCAGAACTGGAGCAAAAGCAGAACGAAAGCGAGAACAGAAAGCTGTTGGGCGAAATTGTAAAATACAGCAATGTCATACAGGTAAAGCTATTGAAATACATTTGCCTTCTCTTAGACGTGGAAAGGAAACAGTTGTTTCATTTCAAGGTTACTGCGAAAATGAAACTAACCACTGTAGTCTGGATTGTCAAGGGTCAGGTAAACAGAACTTGGTGAGGTTTACAATATTGTGTTTTTCTGTCTGTTTTAAAGCCTACCAGAAGTGTTGTATATTCATGTTTAAATAATATGTCATAATATAAATTTTATGTGTCATTTTTGCTGCTGTGGTTTAGAATCTGAATGTAAATATGTGTCCTTTATTTTCAAGTTTTATTTCAAAATTGTATTACAGAGGTGCTGTGCAGCTCCTTTTAAATCACTGAAGTAATTTGTACTTCATGACATGTAAATGAGACAGAAGTTATGTTCTTAAGTGCAGTACAACTTTCCTGTAATGGATGAAATTCCTGAAGGTAACACTATTAATGGACTCCTGCCCTACCTGTGTAGTATATGCTGTAAAATTGATTGCTGACACTTTTCTCTCAAGCTGAGATGTACTATCAGTTTTCCTAAACTGCAGTATACTTTGATAACTCTCTACCAGTTTTATTTTGTTCATGTATGTTATGAAAAATCACTACAGTGTGAAAGCCAGTGCCGCCTCTTTGAATCAAAGTAGAAAAAGCAAAAGCTATACTAATGTTTTAAATTATTATTTTTTCACAGCTATTGCACATAAAAAGTAACAAGTACCTCACAGTCAATAAGAGATTGCCAGCTCTGCTAGAGAAGAATGCTATGCGGGTGTCTCTGGATGCTGCGGGAAACGAGGGATCGTGGTTTTATATCCAGCCGTTCTGGAAACTGAGAAGTGAAGGTGACAATGTAAGTGCAGAAGGCAGAGAGCTTCCAGAAGACACAGGATTTCTGTGCTACTGGCAGAAATCATGATGGATCAAGTTCAGAAAAAAAATATAATAAAAAATTTAAACAGTGTTTTGGACTGTTAGCCTTTATGTGTAACGAGAAAGTTTTCCCAAATTATATAGTCCAGAATCTGAAACGTTGTCACATTCATCTGAGTTTCTGCTGACCTGTGTTGGGGCATCTTTGCTAAGTTCACCTGTTGTGTGCTGATTTACAAAGCTGGTAATAAGTCATAGTTTACATTAGATTAAAAGCTTTTTTATTTACAGTTTTTTAAAATTACTCTGGGCAACATTTTGTTTTCAGGAAGTCAGCAGAAAATGTCTCTAGGAAATATATCAGGTTTCTTTAAATCTGTATTCTCCTTCAACGTGAAGGTGGCATCTGTGACTGGAATTGGGTTGGATGGTCAGGTGGGCCTTTGCTGGGTAGGTGTCAGTAGGAGTCCTGTGTTTTGGTAAGAGAAATAGTATATAGGAGAGCTCTTTGCTGCAGATCTGAGAGTTGTGCATTGAGTTCAAAACGCAGTTCTTAATTCAGTCGACTGTGGCTTGGTTAAATGCCCACTGCAGAAAATTCAGATTTGCCTCTGGGAAGGCCACATGATGAATTTGTGTGGTTTTATGTTGTAGGCCTGGCTGGGAATGTTTGGCCGCTCTCCCCCGTGAAGTACTTGGTGAAAGAGCCCTCTGAGGATCTCAGGCAGGAACGTCTGTTTTCTTGTGTATTTTCTCTCATTAACTCTGTGGTTACCCAGCTCTTAGGATGCTATCCAGGATGTGTGTGGTTGATTACAGCTCATTTTGGCAATCACTTGTGGGGAGGGGAAGGACTGTGTTCCCAGCCCTGGTCAGAAGCCCCTAAAAGTCATAGTCTTTCCCTGCTCCATGCAGTGATCAGAGGGTATGTGAAAACCTCTCACTTTTTCTCCAAGCCTGTTGCAAAGAAAAGCAGCAAACTTTGAGTAGTCCTCTGCACTTCTGCATAGCTTTTTGAATGAGGAAAAGAAGTGTTGTGGATCAAACATAAACCCGATAGACCTCTCCCTCTTTGGAAGGAAAAAACAGAGAAGACTTACTGCTTTAAGGTTTTGACTTAATTTCTTAGAATAACCTTGGTTCAGCATCTTCTTAATTTCTCATACCTCATACCATGTGGGAAATAAGAGTGTGTCATGCTCTCCAGAGTAAGGACCTGGGGAACCCAGATTGTGATCTGCAAAACCACTGTTAGCCTTTACAGAGCAGCAGGATGATCTTAAGCCTTAAAAGTCAACCTCAGTACTGTAGAGCTTTAATTTGTCACCGTTGTGACCATGTGAGGAATGTGAGAGTTTGGAAGCGGTTTTGCTGGTCTGAAAAGTTTGCAGATTGCTGTAACATCCCTGTGGGGCCATATTTGACAGGCTCTGTGCTACAAAGGCCATGTGGGAAACTGTTGGGTTTTCTCCTAACTTAATGACCTCTTTTGGAACCTGCCTGTTGCTTGTTTTTGTCACAGAGCTGGGACCTCATCATTTTGTTGTACAGGGGGAAGTCTGGAGACCCAAGTTTTTCCTCCTTTCTACCAGGCCCAAATTAATCTGATAATTTAATTTGCAAACTTCCAGAGCTAAACATCAGTCCGTGGGTAGCTTTCTTGTAACTGCTATGGCAGATTTCCACCCCTTCAACAGCTACAGAAACTCGGCAGATGTTGTAAGGGGGACAGGCGTAGCAAACGATGGGGGAAATCCTTTAATTTGCCTCAGACAGAGAGGCTCCACGATTTGTTCCCTGGGTTAGTCCCAGGCATGTGCCCATTAAAAACCCATTTTCTGAGTGACTCAGCTACAAAGCACCTACTACTGCGTAAGCTGGGGCCACTTTACCCACTCACTAGGTTAGCTTTTAAAGGACATGTATTTTTTGGTATACTTTTCTGCTTCTGACCTCTCAGTGCATGGAGTTAGCTTGGTATATTAGGCCCTTATTCTGTTTGGAAATACTGGGTATTTTTGTTGTTGTTTGGTAGTTTTTTATGTTTTGTTTTGTTTTGTTTCTAAATTTTCAGTTTCTGTGCTATAATGAGGAAATTCCCTAAGGAAACACATTTTGCAAAGTCTTTAGCACAGTAGAAGTGAGTATTGAATTACTGCTTGGATAACTGCTGCTGTCTCAGATTTCCCAGGCAAGGTAGATCCAAACATGCTATATATCCTAAAACAAAAGAAGGTGATTTAATCTGAGGGAAGCTGTGATACAAGAAGTCATGTCTGTGAGTTTTCTGGTAAGTCATCACAGCTGTTTAGCCTTGTGAAATATTTTTAAAATTATTTTTCTGAAGGAGGATTAGCTTAGCTTCATTAGCAACTGATTAGTTATGCAAGTCAATGAAAGTAATGAAAAAAATAGCTGAAGATTTACAGTAATTGGCAGAACTGCAATATTTTATGCAGACTTTTACTGAGCATATACCAGCTCTCCTTCAATGGAAGACATGACCAGTTAAGGCTAGAGCTGGTTCCATCCAGTTCAGCTGAATGGCAAAATGTGCACTGATAGCAGGATTAGCTCTGTGTGGATTACATTTTTGGTTGTCTGCCATTTTAGTGGTTTGAAAGCTTGATCTTGCAGCATGTTCAGGGAGGTGGTCTTGGACTTGGGGAATGCCCAGCCATCTGTGGGAAAGTTCTGTTAATCCTCCCAATCTCTTTGAAGTGTGTCAGCAGTGCCACTGGCAGATGTGGTTATAACATAAAAGCAGTGGAGATGGAGTAGCAGAGCCTTTGGTGTGCCCAGTAACCTACTTGGATAGTTAGTCCAACCTGAAATCACTGCTACTGCATCTTCGCAGCCAATATAACCTTTTGTAACTACCAGTCTGTGATATACTACACCTCTACTAGAGTATTTGCTCCTAGTTCCTGACTGTGGTATAGATGTAGCTGTCAGGTGGCCTTACTGAGCTTATATGAATGACAGAGTGGCTCTAAGTGATGCTAGTGCTGGTCCCCCACCCAGAAGACAGAACACAGTCAACTTTGGCTGTGGTTCTTCCTACTCTCAATGTACCTTCTCCACCAAGAGATGGACAAACATGGTTTGCATGAATTTAGAAACGCACTTGTGTGGGAAGAACTCCACTGCATCTAAGACTGAAGGACCTTGTAGGTTTATCTTGAATTCAGAGGCTGAATTCTTATTGGTTTCGCTATGAATTTAATAATTCTTTGGAAGCTTCTTATCTAGACCAAAAAGGGTAAGAGTTTTGTCAAAGGAATCAGGAATAAAATCCTCGAAAGCTGTGTGATGCAACTTTAGTGAATTCATGTCTACATGTAAGGAAGAAGTCTCAGAGAACTGTCAAACTATTGAGGTCAGGTTACTGATGTGGACTTGGAGCAGGGTAGGAGTCTGAGATAAAAACCATGACCCCACATGACATTTCTTCCTCAGATGTGTGCCTACAGCAGAAGAGCTGTGTCCATCTCCTTTCTTCTGGTTGCTTCTGTGGTAGTCACAGGCTTGAACTCAAAGATACCTTCCCCCGCCCCTCTTTTTTTGTTTTGGTTTGGTTTTGTTTTTTTTTTCTTTTTAAATAAGGTGATGTGCTCTCTTACTAATTAAGTTGTTATAGTCCTGGTGTACTTGCAATAATTTTGAAGTCCTGATTCCACTTTGCAGGATGCAAGCCTGATGATTTTTTGACTAATGAATTATCTGGTCATAACCTCTTAAAATGGGCTGTAAGTAATGTCTGTGTGAAGCATGGCATGCAGGAA